CGAACCATCGAATGGATCGTTCATGACATGTACATATACCTTAGAGTTGTACCTCTTACATTCAATTGAGTCTCTGAAATCAAACTCAAAGATACGAGTGGGACTTCTTTCAAATAACGATGACAATTTTGCGTCACTATGTAGGTCAACCTTACCCAATAATAATAATTTATTGCTACGTTCGCTCTCTGCACGTGCTGCAAATAAGAAATCGTGCTATCAATTGGACAATATAACTCGTTCATTTTTCAGAGTGATGCATGAATGATTGAACAGAGACTAAGAGATTTCTCTGTTGCCGCAGTCCATAAAATTCTCCAGTAGCAAATCTCCATGGAGCACAGCACTCCATAGACCCACTCCTGCCTCCCTCCACTCCCGGTCTCCTTGCTTTGCTTCACAGAAGATAGATTTATTGCATCGAACTTGCCTGCATAGCCAACCTGGGGACGGCACAACATGCACGACTCAGTCTCAGCATTGAAATGCGAGCAATAACTGCATTCTTGGAGCACTCGCATTAACTGCATTTTTGGAGCAGTAATATTAACTGCATTCTTGGAGCAGTAATATTAACTGCATTCTTGGAGCAGTAATATTAACTGCATTCTTGGAGCAGTCACATTAACTGCATTTTTGGAACAGTAATATTAACTGCATTCTTGGAGCAGTAATATTAACTGCATTCTTGGAGCAGTCACATTAACCGCACTAATAGAGCACTCACATTAACGCATTATTAGAGCACTCGCATTACCTACTTTCTTGAGGCACTCACATTCACTGCATTTTTGGAGCACTCACATTAACGGCTTTCTTGGAGCCCTAACATTAACTGCATCTTGGAGCACTCGTACTAAATGCATTGTTGGGACACTCGCAATAACTGCATTCTTGGAGCAGCCACATTAACTGCATTCTTGGAGCACTCGCATTAACTGCATTCCTGGAGCACTCATATTAACTGCATTCTTGGAGCACTCGCATTAACTGCATTCCTGAAGCACTCATATTAACTACATTCTCGGAGCACTCGCATTAACTGAATTCTAGGAGCACTCGCATTAACGGCATTCCTGGAGCACTCATATTAACTGCATTCTTGGAGCACTCACATTAACTGCATTCTTGGAGCACTCACATTAACTACATTCTTGGAGCACTCACATTAACTACATTCTTGGAGCACTCACATTAACTGCATTCTTGGAGCACTCACATTAACTGCATTCTTGGAGCACTCACATTAACTACATTCTTGGAGCACTCACATTAACTGCATCCTTGGAGCACTCATCTCAAGTACATTCCTGCACCAACTCTACTCCGTAGCTCACGACCTTCATTCTAGATTAAATTTGATTGCGTGGCGCAATGCTAAAGATATAAATCACATGGGATTTTGCACCAAATATACAATCGGTAATGGGATTATTTTGATTTACGGTGCGTACAAATAGTTCATAAAATAATTAAAGTATTTTTGCGTGTCGCCGTCTTAACCTTACAGATTTCAATAATATAGATGAGGGAGGAAGCTGAGCGAGCTTCGATGCTTCTGACATCAAAATGCGTGCGACATCATACACTTGATAAATAAATTCTATAAAAAATCTTTGTATAGAGCAAAAAGAATTTTAGTTCCTGTTTTTTTAAAAACAACAATTAAATGCCTGTGGAAAGAGGCCCTTGGTTTTGTTTCGGCACTTTTTTATCCACTGTGAAGCATTCGCTTTCGCTACATAACAATTAAAATGAAAATAAAGTGAACGACTAATAAATTTTAGTCTCTTTGCCCTCGGTGTACACATAATAATTAGCGTCAATACCACGTGACCTAAACTGAGGCCGATAGGTTTTCAATTCCAGAAAAATTGTAGGAATTTTCGGCCGCAGTTTCACCGAAAACGGCCGCCAACTTCTCCACGTCAAGAAAATATCGATAAAACTTTTCGGAGGTGAGGCGAACAAAGTAAGAAGCGAGCAAAAAACTTTCGCTTCGATGGTTAGAACTCTTCGCTGAATTTGGTGGGAGTTGGTGCGTTGTATTGTTGGTCTTCAGCGAACGTGAACAATGAAGCGACCAAGCCAGTTAACTTCGCTTTAAAAAAGAGAGAATATTTAATTAGATTTTGATTTGGAACAATGAGCTGAGGCGATATGTGACAATATTCGAAAAATAATAATAAAAATTTGTTAATGAATGAAAAAATAATGCCTCATTTATTACATGCCCTAATAAATAAGAATTTTCAAATTAAATTTTGATTTTGAACATTGAGCTAAGTACCAGGCGATAAATTACAATATTCTAAAAATAATAATAACTATTTGTTACTTTCTCGTTGGCATAGTTGTATTATAATTACATATTTGACACATTCACAGTAATTCTAAATGTGAATAATAAATTGTGAAAGTTTCCATTTTTTCTCGACTATTTGTAACAGTTTTTTCCATAGATGGCTTCTGGGAACCAAGAAAATATAAAAAAATAAATAAATAACAACCAAAAAAATGTAAAAATTGGTCGAGCGACGATTTCAAAGTATTTACAAAGCTGTTCTTTGTCCAGGCGGGACTTTTGAAAGGCTCATGACATGCAGAAGGCGAAATGATAATATCCCGAAAAAATTATAATATTTGTTAAATTAATTCTCCTTCAAAGTCTCGGTGTTGCTCGGGCTGGTGATGCGATGTAAACTCACAGGATAATCGTTAGAAATTTATATTTATTGGCCCTGCTTTACAATTTTTAATAAAGCTAACTGGATATTTTCAAACGATGCACATGCCCCAGATTCAGACGTTGCACACGCTATGATTTTAAACGATGCGAAAGCGATATTTTCAGACTATACATACGCTAAATTTACAAACGTTGCAAACGTGACATTTTCAGACGATGCGAACGCTACATTTTCGGACGATGCAAAAGCTACATATACAACCGATGTAAGCGATATATTTTAAGACGATGAAAACACTACATTTTAAAACGATGCATAGGCTACCTTTTCAGACGACGCAGACTCCACATTTCCAGACGTTGCAAACGCTACATTTTCAAGCGATGCACGCGCTACATTTTCAAACAATTTATATGCTACCTTTTCAGATGATGCAAATACCACATTTTCACACGGTGCAAATACCACATTTTTCAGACGGTGCATAGGATAGGCTACTTTTTCAGACAAATTCATTTAAATGCTAAGTGAGAAACGTTGATCAAGCTTTCAAAGCAGCGGCTCCCAATGAAGTCCTGACCTGAATCTTTTGTTGTGCAAGCGACCGAAGATTGAACGAAACGCGAAGGAATTTTTCCGAATGAGTTGAATTAGATTTGAAATCCAGGACAGAGGAGGAAATTTTGTTTCCAATGTCGGAAGAAACTCAAAGGTTTTGGTTGATTGAATGACGATATCCTGAGCACGAATGCATGAGCAGCAATGCGCTGTGCAGTGTATATCTGCATCAACATTTGGTGTTGACCGACAGTTTTAGCAAAATTGAGTGTTAAGATGTTTCTTTTCTCAAGAAAACACCGAGCAAAATTAAAGAAAGCCAAAATATTTGTGGAAAATTCCAATGAAACTCGGTTTTCGAAGTGTTACCTACATTTTTCTGCTATACTTCCGCACTTACCTAAAAACAAATAACCTTTCCCATGGTGAAAATTTTAAAAAAATTACATGCGATTGCATATCGAGATTTGCAATGTTTAGTGCGAACTGAACTGCGGTAGTTGAACTACAAACAAGCACTGCAACGAAGTTATCGAAGAAAATAAGTATGATGGTCGATCGCATATACCATGTATGAACCACCATCTACAGATGGCAAAGATTATGGCACGAATATGGAAGAATTTAAGCTGGAATCCGAAGTGATTTCAGTCTCACGTATTGTTTTTGGGGGAAATTTTTTTAATTAATAACATTGTTTGATATTTTTATTTCTTTATTTTTAATAATTCAGCATAAACATTTATTAATGCATAGGAAATAATTGATGAACGGCAGCTAAAATTGAATGGTTGGTATACAGCTCCTGTGGTTTAAATAAAACAATATTGAATTTTCAGCCAACCATTAAAATTAAAGTGCATTAAATAAATAAATCAGAACCATAATAGGAAGAAATATTTCTATCATAAGACACATCTGCTTGAGGGCGATGTCATTTTTGTCATGGATGAAACTTCAAAACTCTACAAGTTCGCAGCAATAGGCAAATCAGAAGGTAAGGTGGCTCATAAATGAAAGCCACTCTCTAATTGGCAACGATTTTTGCGCTCCGATAACGACTGAACTTTTGCGATCGCTCGGGCGAGATTGCTACAACGTTGCAGAGCGAGCACAGAGACCGTATATAGCCGAGACAGAGATTACTGCAAGAGACCTGCGAGGCTGATAATCTCGTGTGTACAGAGACATGAATGTAGTGTATAGACGGGGCATTGAATTGTACGGATAATCTCTAGTACGAAGAGACATGAATGTAGTGGATGGATGGGGCATTGAATTGAACGGATAATCTCGTGTATACAGAGACATGTATGTAGTGAATGGATGGGGCATTGAATTGTACGGATAATCTCGTGTATACAGATACATGTATGTAGTGAATGGATGGGGCATTGAATTGTACGGATAATCTCGTGTATACAGAGAAATCTATGTAGTGAATGGAAGGGGCATTGAATTGTACGGTTAACCTCGTGTATACAGATACATGTATGTAGTGAATGGATGGCGCATTTAATTGCTTGGATAACCTCGTGTATACAGAGACAAATGTCATTGTGGTAATATATTGGGGCATTAAATAACTATAAGGAAATCTCGTGCAAACCAAAACAAACGTGTGTTGAAATATTGAGTAATTGAATTTCGCAGGCAATCACGAGTACACCGAGACATGTTTGTAGTGAATGGATGGGTCATTGAATTGCAAAGACAATCTCGAGTATACCGGCACATTCATCTAGTGAATAAATGGGGCAACGAAACACAAAGGCAGAAGACGAGACAGAGACCGCGGTAAGAGACCTGCAAGACCGACAACCTCTCAAAGACTGAGTCTTATGTGTGGTGAGTTGATTTATGTATTTTAGTTTGCTTTTCCAAAAAATGTGTTTCAGCCTCCATGTCACTTGGATAAGAGACTAACAGGCCTTCCCCTATTAAAGGAAAATACAATTTCCTCGCTTTTACAGATTAACATTTTCGTTAATAAAGAGGTTTTATGAAGCCACGATTCGTCAGTTCACTGGTGTATCATAAATAAATGTGTAATTCATCAGAATAAATCACTTTAGTTAACAAAATATTGTTAATAAAAATGGATGTTTGCGACGTCTCGACATATATTGTTGACGGAGAATTTATCTTTAATCAAAATCTCTAGTAATCAAAATTATTTTCAACAGTTTGGTCTATTAAAACTATTTATTCGTCCATATATTCTTCGCTGCACAACTGTAACTTCGTACAGCGTGTAAATTTAAAAATTTCTTGTCTAAGTAGCTGAATCCTGTACTCGATAGAAGGATTTCCAAGCCAGGCTCTTAACTTGCGGACAATCATTCCTTCGCTCAAGTCAATTGGCAACAGGAGGATCTGGCAACAGGAGGATCTGGCAACAAGAGGATCTGGCAACAAGAGGATCTGGCAACAGGAGGATCAGGCAACAAGAGGATCTGGCAACAAGAGGATCTGGCAACAAGAGGATCTGGCAACAACTGGCAACAGGAGGATCTGGCAACAGGAGGATCTGGCAACAGGAGGATCTGTTTACCAGGTACACATCCTATCGAAGGAAGTCGCTCGTGCGTCGCAAGAACGGGTGAGAGGTTCTTCCTGTTCTCAATAGGAAGGCTTCCTGCCTTTGAATCAAGCCTTGTAAAGGATACGATGGCCGCGCGATCTACATTCCTAAAGCCTGCCATCAATTTGACTTGTAAAATGAATGCAATCGTATCACTAAGAGCTTTTTCGTCTTGTAAATTTAGTTTTTTTCTTGCTGGTGTTCTTTTCTTCTAGTCAGCCAACCTCAGTTCTTCTTTTTATAGTGTTTGTGCATTCACTTTCGTTCGCTAGGGAAACATAAATCGTTTTTTCACTAGCATTCGTACGTCTTCCATTGCTCGTTAGACAAACGTAAATTTTTTCTTTTGTTTTCGTACATTCACCTTTGCTCGTCTTGGCGACCACAGTATTTCTTTTACCACTTTTCGTTCATTCTCCTTAACTCGTCCGGCAAACATAAGTCTTTTTCAAGACTCTTTGCCTGAAACAAAGAGAAGATGTCCGGTTGTACTGCCGGCATTCATCAGCGTCAACAACAAGCAAGTTAGCAACGAATTGCAGCAATATTTCTGTTGCTTGTTTGTTCAACTACGACGCAATCGCAGGGGCTGGTGAGTGGCGACTGAAATGTGCTCTACCTTTGCTTTAAAAATTCATTTGTTCAACACTGTGAACTTCAGGCGTATACATAAGGTATAGAGTGTGCATTATTCAGGGTGCACATTATAAAATTTCAATATGTTTCAAATATGATCATGAATTTAAACTCAGTGCGAATATGGGCATGCATAAACTTCAACAATGTACGAAAAGAATTTCAACGCAGCACATCTATTCCTTAAACCTAAATCATAAAGGAAGTTTATTTTAATGTGATGTTAGAAGCTTATTTTACAATGAAGTTTAAGTAAGAAGAACTCCATAACGAAATTGAGGATCAAATTTCAGATGGAAAACTTCACTATAATGTTCTATCAACAACGATCAAATGCACACCATAAGTTCTCAGCATCAGTAGTAAAACGTAACGTGTTTCGATAAATACAACTTTGCCAACATCGAAAACCATTCAAATATATATAAATGAAATTTACGCTTTAGTTTTTGGCAGGCTGTGTTACCAAACAACCACCTGCACTAATTAAATATTAGTAATAATGATTATTTAATATTATTGTTAATGATAAACAGTATTTATGCAAGGCAAACATGATATTGATGCAAGGTCTAAGGTGATAGTGAATTTTTTTCCGGGACATGAATGTTATTTTAATATAGGGTTGTAAAATTACGGAGCTAATTTACTCGGTTTTTAATAACACAAGCTTACTTAATACATTATTTAAATTCTAAAGACTTATTTCATAGCGCTTTCGAAACTATAAATAAATAATAAAGTTTGTTATTTTGGACTCGAGCGCCAACTGTCCATGTATATCACTGTGCCAGAGCTCAAAATAACGCACAAAGAAACAAACTTCCACATATATAAACGAGATTAAATGATTTAACAAACTTTCCACCCATGTATTTTAGCATCCATTCATCTTAGAACCTCAAGACTGAATTAATCCCGGGGAATGAAAGCAAGTCTATTGACGCCTTTCACAGCGTCTTCAAAATACGCTTGAAAATAACGCGAAATTTTGTGCCCGGCGCCCAATTCTTGGCAGTTCTTAAGACGCTCTTGACGCCTTTGATTCTGCCTTGGCAAGGCGTAATCTCGGCCTTATGATTAATGGTGACTCGTAGTGAGGGTAGTGATGTGAGGGTGGTAGTGAGGGTAGTGATGTGAGGGGTGGTAGTGAGGGTAGTGATGTGAGGGGTGGAGATTTGAGGGGTGGTAGTGAGGGTAGTGATGTGAGGGGTGGTAGTGAGGGTAGTGATGTGAGGGGTGGTAGTGAGGGTAAAGATATGAGGGGTAGTAGTGAGGGTAGTAATGTGAGGGGTGGTAGTGAGGGTAGTGATATAAGGGGTGGTAGTGAGGGTAGTGATGTGAGGGGTGGTAGTGAGGGTAAAGATATGAGGGGTGGTAGTGAGGGTAGTGATGTGAGGGGTGGTAGTGAGGGTAGTGATATGAGGGGTGGTAGTGAGGGTAGTGATGTGAGGGGTGGTAGTGAGGGTAGTGATGTGAGGGGTGGTAGTGAGGGTAGTGATATGAGGGGTGGTAGTGAGGGTAAAGATATGAGGGTTGGTAGTGAGGGTAGTGATGTGAGGGGTGGTAGTGAGGGTAGTGATATGAGGGGTGGTAGTGAGGGTATAGATTTTAGGCAGTTATATTTTAATGACAATATTTTTGGGGAAACAACAATATTTTGCAGGAATATTGTCTAACAGCAAAGTAATTGTAGACCATTAACTTGGTGGTTATATATAATTGATTATCATCGTCTAATGGTAACACTATTTAATGACTATTACTTGATGGCTGTAATGGTGAACTAATATTTTGTTATCTTCCTCTTTTTATGTAATGAATGAAGGAAAAATGGCTCACAGATGCCACAAAAAAAAGCAATTCTGTCTTAATTTGACTCCCCAGTCACAATGAGACAGTAGACGTGTTTTAAAGAGACTTGTTATTCACCTACTTTCTGTACAATATTTTCCTGACTTAAAAGAAACCTATTCGGCACTCGCTTTCAGTAAAATATTTTCCTTACGCATCGAAATCAGAAAATTTAAAAAATTTAAGCCAGATCGTACCACAGATAAAGTAATGGAGTAAGAATTTCAGAAAACTTTCAAACTTGAACGCAATTGTCAATAAATCAAATTACAAATAGATTTATAAACATTTTATCTGTGTGAGCGTTGAAGAGAAGGTTTGCGAAGGCCTCTGACAATCGCAGTATTTTCTTACTGGCTGCGGATTTACACCCACAACTCACCGCTAAAATTTGATTGATCTTAATCACTCGGAAACACCTGAGATATGCTATTCATCTTCTATTGTTAATAAAGCCTTGAGAAGTAAATGATGCTAATACTTCCATAAAATAAGATGATATATTTTATATATATCTATATATATATATCTATGTATATTATAACGCAGATCACGTGCCTTATTTTATTCGCACGTGGCTAGTAACCAGCGCGGAGGGATGGTGTAGCGGCAAACACTTTTCCGCGCAAGAATACTTTTCCGTAAAATTCCAGGAAACTTCAATGTTAAAAAAGAACAGATATATATTATAAAAAATTATTTTAGTTTGAAATTACCCTGAGTTGCCATCATAATATGCATTTAACCAGTTAATATATTCTAGCTCAAGGGAAACTGTTACTAATTTTAGTTGAAGTAATCTTCTTAAATTTTTGTTGGCATGCGAGTTTCATTGTGAATTGCAGTTACTTGCAAGGGAAGACGTTTATCTTGCTGTTCTTTCGAAATAATCGGGTTTTAGTTAATTTTTTTAATGTGTACTATTTATGACTACTAATTGAGAGCATTATATTATATGTATTACATGGCGGAACAACTGGATTGGTTTTACCGTATCATGAGGCTACAGCATTGCATGAAAATAACACAACAACATTCGGTGAAATAAAGCATGAATGTTTAACAGGTACCAAGCGAAAGCAAGAGAAACAGCAAGACACAGCACAGAGACAGCCAGAGGCAGTACAGAGACAGCAAAACACAGCACAGAGACAGCAAGAGACAGAAAACGCAGCACAGAGACAGAAAGAGGCAGCACAGAGACAGCAAAACAAGGCACATGAGGGGTGGTAGTGAGGGTATAGATTTGAGGCAGTCATGTTGTAATGGCTATAATTTTGGGGGAATGACAATATTTTGAAGGAATATTTCCTATCAGTAATGTAATTGTGGACCATTAACTGAATGGTTATAAATAATTGATTATCATCGTCTAATGGTAACGCTATTTAGGGACTATTGCCAGATGGTCTGTCACGATGAACTAATGTTTTATTATCTTCCTCTATTCATCTAATGGACAAAGGAAAAATGGCTCTCAAATATCACAAAAAAATTTGTTTTAATTTGACTACCCAATTACAATGATGCAGAAGAATATGTGTTTTAAAGTAACCTGTTCATCACTCAATTTCAGTAAAATATTCTCCTGACTCCTCGGAGACAGAAAATTTAATAAAATTCAAGCCAAATCGTAGCACAGATAAAGTAATGGAGTGAGAATTTCAGAAAACTTTCTAACTTGAACACAATTGTCAATAAATCAAATTTCAAATAAATTTATAAACATTTTATCTGTGTAAGCGTTGAAGAGATGGTTTGCGAATATCGCAAAATTTCCGAATATCGCAATTTTTGTCCGAATATCGCAAAATTTTCCCACTGGCTGCGGATTTACACCCACAACTCACCGCTAAAATTTGATTGATCTTAATCACTCGTCAACCCTTAGATATGTTTTTCATCTTCTATCTATAATAAAGCCTTGAGAGGGAAATGATTGTAAAACTTCCATATAATAAGATGATATAATTTGTATATATATCTATGTATATTATAACGCAGATCACTTGCCTTCTTTTATTCGCACGTGGCTAGTAACCAGCGCGGAGGGATGGTGTAGCGGCAAACACTTTTCCGCGTAATAATACTTTTCCGTAAAATTCCAGAAAGCTTCAATGAAACAGAAAAACTTGATATATTATCAAAAACTATTTTAGTTTGAAATTACCCTGATCTGCATGCATAATATGCATTGCAACAATTAATTTATTCTAGCTCTATGAAAACTGTTAATACTGTATTTCAAGTTGAAGTAATCTTCAAAGTTTTGTTGGCATGCGAGTTTTACTGTAAATTGAATTTACTTGCTAAGAAAGACGTTCATCTTGCTCTTCTTTTGAAATAATTGAGTTTTGATGATTTTTTAATATGTGTTATTTATGACTACAAGTTGGGAGCATTTTATTATATGTATTACATTGAGGAACAACTGGATTGGGTTTACCGTATCATGAGGCTTCAGCATTGCATGAAAATAACACAACAACATTCGGTAAAATCATGCATTAAGGTATAACAGGTACCAAGCGAAAGCAAGAGAAACAGCAAGACGCAGCGCAGAGACAGCCAGAGACCGCAAGAGACAGCACAGAAACAGAAAGATACAATGCAGAGATAGCAAGACACGGCACAGAGGCAGCAAGAGACAGCAAGACACAGCGCAGAGACAGCAAGAGACAGCAGGACACAGCACAGAGACAGCAAGAGACAGCAGGACACAGCACAGAGACAGCAAGAGACAGCAAGACACAGCGCAGAGACAGCAAGAGACAGCAGGACACAGCACAGAGACAGCAAGAGACAGCAGGACACAGCACAGAGACAGCAAGAGACAGCAAGACACAGCGCAGAGACAGCAAGAGACAGCAAGACACAGCGCAGAGACAGCAAGAGACAGCAGGACACAGCACAGAGACAGCAAGAGACAGCAAGACACAGCACAGAGACAGCAAGAGACAGCAAGACACAGCGCAGAGACAGCAAGAGACAGCAGGACACAGCACAGAGACAGCAAGAGACAGCAGGACACAGCACAGAGACAGCAAGAGACAGCAAGACACAGCGCAGAGACAGCAAGAGACAGCAAGACACAGCGCAGAGACAGCAAGAGACAGCAGGACACAGCACAGAGACAGCAAGAGACAGCAAGACACAGCACAGAGACAGCAAGAGACAGCAAGACACAGCGCAGAGACAGCAAGAGACAGCAGGACACAGCACAGAGACAGCAAGAGACAGCAAGACACAGCACAGAGACAGCAAGAGACAGCAAGACACAGCACAGAGACAGCACAGAGACAGCAAGAGAATCATGGTAATCGAGCCGCCCTCGCGAACCCTCAAACGTAAGATTATTCATGGAAATCCATATTTAATTTCTACTTTCGCCAGATTTTTATGAGGGAAACCTCAAATTCGACAATGCTTTTAATTTACACACATTAATTCAAAATGGGAATGACTTTCCGGTAGAAGAAATCTTGCGAAAAATTTAGGAAGTGTTCACAACTTTCGACATACAGGCAGACATTAAACTTTGTGACAGAATTATTCACGTTAAATATTTTTATTGATATGTGTCATCTTTCAGCCTCGACATATGTCAAACAACTAAACGTGATTGTAATGTATATTATCAATTTTCTTTCACTTTATTATAAGCGAAGAGTCGCCTACGGGCATAAAATTTTTGAAAAAAACTGAATTACCATATTACCTCTTGAAAAACTGAATTACCATGTTACCACTCGATAAACTGAATTACCATATTACCTCTTGGAAAACTGAATTACCATGTTACCTCTCGATAAACTGAATTACCATGTTACCTCTCGATAAACTGAATTACCATGTTACCTCTCGATAAACTGAATTACCATGTTACCTCTTGATAAACTGAATTACCATATTACCTCTTGATAAACTGAATTACCATATTACCTCTCAATAAACTGAATTACCATATTACCTCTGTCTCTTATACACATCTAGATGTGTATCAACAGGAGGATCTGGCAACAGGAGGATCTGGCAACAGGAGGATCTGGCAACAGGAGGATCTGGCAACAGGAGGACCTGGCAACAGGAGGATCTGTTTACCAGGTACACATCCTATCGAAGGAAGTCGCTCGTGCGTCTCAAGAACGGGTGAGATGTTCTTCCTGTTCTCAATAGGAAGTTTCCTGCCTTTGAATCAAGCCTTGTAAAGGATACGCTGGCCACGCGATCTACATTCCTAAAGCCTGCCATCAATTTGGCTTGTAAAATGAATGCAATCGTATCACTAAGAGCTTTTTTGTCTTGTAAATTTAGTTTATTTCTTGCTGGTGTTCTTTTCTTCTAGTCAGCCAACCTCAGTTCTTCTTTTTATAGTGTTTGTGCATTCACTTTCGCCCGCTAGGCAAACATAAATCGTTTTTTTTCACTAGCATTCGTACGTCTTCCATTGCTCGTCAGACAAACGTAATTTTTTTTCTTCTGTTTTCGTACATTCACCTTTGTTCGTCTTGGCGAACACAGTATTTCTTTTTACCAATTTTCGTTCATTCTCCTTAACTCGTCCGGCAAACATAAGTCTTTTTCAAGACTCCTCACCTGAAACAAAGAGAAGATGTCCGGTTCTACTGCCGGCATTCATCAGCGTCAACAACAAGCAAGTTAGCAACGAATAGCAGCAATATTTCTGTTGCTTGTTTGTTCAACTACGACGCAGTCGCAGGGGCTGGCGAGTGGCGACTGAAATGTGCTCTACCTTTGCTTTAAAAATTCATTTGTTCAACACTGTGAACTTCAGGCGTACACATAAGGTAGGGTGTGCATTATTCAGGGTGTGCATTATTCAGGGTGTGCATTATTCAGGGTGTGCATTATTCAGGGTGAAAATGACGACTTATTATAGTCCTTAGAATTAATCAGTGTTATTTTCTGATCAGTGTTGAATTTGATCAGTGACCGAAATAAATCGGCCTTGATCATTAATACTTTATTTTATATTTTTATAAATACTTTTTTTTGTTTATACTTTATATTTTAGACTTCAGTGTTCAGCGTGCATATATTTTTTGGAACTCCCGCTTATTGATAACCTTATCTAGAGGGTTAGTAACTTTATTCGATTTGTAGTACCCTCATTTTAATTTTATTTCAATAATTTTAATAAGTAATTCATTTACTTGTCTTAAGCTTGATTCCGAACAGCGTCAAATATCAGTGTAAAAGCAGCAAGTGACCAACTAAAATTGTAGCCGATTTATCGGCGGCCGCCTCTCTGGCCAATCGCTGACCTGCATGCCAACATGTTCCGTTAATTTTAATAGTTTTAATAAGCAATTCATTTGTTGGCTTGATTGTGAACAGCATCAAATGTCAGTCTAAAAGCAGCAAGTGACCAACTTCCATTAATTTACAGCTAATGCCAATCTGCTGCAATTTACAGCAGGTCGTGCCGGGCGGTTCTGTTCTTAACAGCATTTGCTGGTCCAGGCGTCGCTTGCTATCCTGGACCACGAAACCTTACAACTGTCGTAAGTTCAACGGCGAGCTGATGTTCTACGATGATCGTAAGTTCTTTACTAACTTACATGTGATATTTCATCTTAAATATATTTGTTCTAATTTCAGTTATTTTATTTTATTGCTTTGCCTGTCATAATATCGAAGGAGATTCTCTTGAGATTATTGAACATTCTCGCCTATTAAGAAGTATTTCACTCTGCACGGCCCCACCATTCACTCTGCACGGCCCCACCATTCACTCTGCACTGCCCCACCATTCACTCTGCACGGCCCCACCATTCACTCTGCACGCCTCACGTCCGGCACTCAGCCCCAGGTCTCAGGTTGCGCCGGTTGTTGTATTCGGTTTACGGCGCAGAACAAAACTGACAAATCGAGCCTGAGTTTATAAAAGTTTTGAGGCGGTCAAGAGGTCAACAAAATACTACCTCTCTGAAAAATTACAAAAATAATGTAAAATTTTTATCAGTTTTCTCATTTGCGAGATTGAATTTCCTCTCAAGTATTTATTCACTACTTATTTTTTTCAACAAATGTATTCTCTAGGATTAAGTCTAATAAATATTAATGAATTTTTAATAAAAAATTCATTACTTACTATTGAATTGTGTCTTCAATTTTGTATTCGATTTATCTGTTATGTAATTGAGAATTTTAATTTTTAAACAATCTAATTTTTTATTTTGCGGCTGAGAATGCAGAATGCCGATATCCACGTAGGAAATCGTACCCATGGATGAATTATTAAATTGAATTATTAATTCAACCATGATCGTACCCATCCCACCGCTTCTGAAATTTGAAAATAACAGGGCCTATACTTTCAAAAAAGTTAAGTGATCGTAAGTTCNTTACCTCTCGATAAACTGAATTACCATATTACCTCTTGATAAACTGAATTACCATGTTACCTCTCGATAAACTGAATTACCATGTTACCTCTTGATAAACTGAATTACCATATTACCTCTCGATAAACTGAATTATATTTCGTGGATTATAATTTCGGATCCTCGTAGCATGTACCATGTGATGATAATGAGAATATTTCTGGATACCAAACAACGACTTATTATAGTCCTTAATAAATCAGTGTATTTTCTAATCAGTGTTTAATTTGATCAGCGACCGAAATAAATCGGCCTTGATTATAAATACTTTATTTTACTTTTTTTTATAAATACTTTTTATATTTTGATTTTAGTTTACATTTTAGATTTCAGTGTTCAGCGGGAATATATTTTTTTTAACTCCCGCTGATTAATAACTTTATTTAATGGGTTAGTAACTTTATTCCAGCTTCAGTACCCACATTTTAATTAATTTCCATCATTTTAAGGAGTAATTCATTTAGCTTGCTTCTGTACAGCGTCAAATGTCAGTCTAAAAGCAGCAAGTGACCGACTTAAAATTGAAGCCGATTTATCGGTGGCCGCTTCTCTGGCCAATCACTGACCTACATGCCAACATTTTCCGTTAATTTTGATAGTTTTAATAAGTAATTCATTTATTGGCTTGATTGTGAACAGCGTCAAATGTCAGTCTACAAACAGCAAGTGACCATCTAAAATTGTGGTCGATTTATCAGCGGCCGCCTCTCTGGCCAATCGCTGACCGGCAAGCCAACATTTCCCGTTAATTTACAGCTAATGCCAATCTGCTGCAATTTACAGCAGGTCGTGCCGGGCGGTTCTGCTCTTAACTGCATTTGCTGGTCCCGACGTCGCTTGCTGTCATGGGCCACGAAACCTTACGACAGTCGTAAGTTCAACGACGAACTGATGTTCTACGATGATCGTAAGCTGTTTACTTAGAAATATTTCATTCTATACAAAGATATCTTTTTATAAATTCAGTTATTTGATCGCATTGCTTCGCTTGTCAGGATATCGAATGAATTTTTCACGAGATTATTGATCATTCTCGAGTATTAATTTTTCAATCTGTCAAGGCCCCACCATTCACTCTGCAAGGCCCACCATTCACTCTGCACGGCCCCACCATTCACTCTGCACGGCCCCACTCTGCACGGCCCCGCCATTCACTCTGCACGGCCCCACCATTCACTCTGCAAGGCCCCACCATTCACTCTGCACGGCCCCACCATTCACTCTGCACGGCCCAAACACTCTGCAAGGCCCCACCATGCACTCTGTACGGCCCCACCATTCACTCTGCACGGCCCCGCCATTCACTCTGCAAGGCCCCACCATGCACTCTGCACGGCCCCACCATTCACTCTGCACGGCCCCACGTCGGGCCACTCAGGCCCAGGTCTCAGGTTGCGCCGGTTGTTGTATTCGGTTTACGGCGCAGAGCAAAACTGATAAATCGAGCCTGAGTTTATAAAAGTTCTGAGGGGGTCCAGGGGTCAATAAAATGCGACCTCTCTGAAAAATTACAAAAATAATGTAAAAATTTCATCAGTTTTCTCATTTGCGAGATTGAATTTCCTCTCAAGTATTTATTCACTACTTATTTTTTTCAACAAATATATTCTCTAGGATTAAGTCTAATAAATATTAATGCATTTTTTTAGTTTTTAGATAATTTAATTTATTACTTACTATTGAATTGTGTCTTCAGTTTTGTAGGTATTCGATTTGTCTGTTATATAATTGAGAATTTTAATTTTTGAACAATCTAATTTTTTATTTTGCGGCTGAGAATGCAGAATGCCGATATCCACGTAGGAAATCGTACCCATGGATGAATTATTAAATTGAATTATTAATTCAACCATGATCGTACCCATCCCACCGCTTCTGAAATTTGAAAATAACAGGGCCTATACTTTCAAAAAAGTTAAGTGATCGTAAGTTCATCAGACATTCATTGACGGCATTTCAAGCAAAATCCACCAATCATAGATAAGAAAATAGAGCGTAAGTACTTATGTTAACTTAGCGAGTTTTGAAACTATGGCCCCAGGTAGGGAAAATCAAAATTATTTACAGTGCCCATAAGAACAAATAAAAACATCGTTCAGTAATAAAATTTTCAGAAAACTCAATAAATAAAAAAATATTTCCTGGGGTTCCAATATTTCGAAATTAAAGAACATTAAAACTAGTTCTAATTTATTCGCCCCTTTAATTAAATTATAAATTCATGTTTGAATTTGAATAAGATTTATTCATAGCTTGGCAATGAATTAGTACAATTTCATGATTAAATTGCCACTGCTCCAAGATTATGTTGCATGCGCTGTGCAAGCAATCTATGCAAATAGATTAGGATTTTAATTAATCGAGTTAATTATCTCATTTGGAGCTTGCAATATGGAAACCGAATACCTCAGTGTTCTTAAAAAAATAAATTTAGCATCTAATTCCGCACATGCGAACTAAAACCAGTTTGCACGACGCCTACGCATATTCACTTCTTACCCGCAGTACAAGTCAAGCCACAATCTTATATTCATTTCTTCAGGGATGTCTGAGTCTTATTTATCTGAGACCGCTAAGGCGGCCACGAGACATAAGAACTGGCTTTCCATTGGCAAGAGACATGAGACATGGATTCCCTTGAGACATGAGACATGGCTTTCCATTGCCATAAGGAATGGCTGCTCATGAGCCATGAGACATGGTGCCTTCAAGCCCTGCTTCCCTACGTTCCTCATCGCCCGCCTCATCATTCGAAAAATCTGCATACGTTCTGCCTCATGAGCAGGCATTACTCTCCTGTTCAGCTGCAGGCCTCGCTAAAGAGGCCATCGCTGAGGCCATTACAGTTGGGGAAACCATACCTGAGGCCATCCCCGTTGAAGAAACCATACCTGAGGCCATTCCAGTTGGGGAAACCATACCTGAGGCCATTCCAGTTGAGGAAACCATACCTGAGTCAATTCCAGTTGGGGAAACCATACCTGAGGCCATCCCCGTTGGGGAAACCATACCTGAGGCCATTCATGTTGGGAAAAAGATAGCCGAGGCCATTTCAGTCAATAAAACCATAGCTGAGGCCATTACAGTCGATAAACCATAGCCGAGGCCATACCAGTCGAGGAAATCATAGCTGAAGCCATTCCAGTTGTTTAAACCATAGCTGAGGTCATTCCAGTTGAGGAAAGTGAAATTTAGCCGAGGTTTCCATCATGCGTGTTGTAGCGACATTATTTTTTTGCAATAATATACTTCCCAGTTTACAGTAATATTCTTTACAAAGTATTTTAAAATTAACTGCACAAACTAAATTGAAGTTAGAATGTAATTAATAATCTTCCCTTACTATTATTATTTAATTGGAACCTAAATCACAACTTCTTCCTAAGTGTTGAGTTTTTTTCAGTCTACTTCACATTTTACATCCTACTCTCAGGTTCCACACCATTAGTTCATTAATTCAAATTCGATCCTAATTCATTATTGTACATTCATTCCTTTATATTCATCCCTCGTGCCTCACCGCAGTTTCAGTCATTCACTTCATTCTTTAAATCACGTTCATTCTTCATTCCTTGCAGCTGACTCATTCCTTCATACTCATTCATATTTATTTACTGCAGACTCATTCCTTCATGTTTATTCATAAGTGTCACCGCAGAGTCATTCTTTCATATTTATTTATAATTCTTCACAGCACATTCATTCCTTCATACTCATTCATATTTCCTTCTTGTACACTCATTCCTTCATATAATCATTCATGATTCCTTCTTGTAGACTCATTCCTTCATATTCATTCATAATTCCTCCTTATAGACTCATTCCTTCATATTCATTCATAATTCCTCCTTATAGACTCATTCCTTCATATTCATTCATATAATTTCTGTTGAGCTTAATCCAAACGGTAAACAAAATTGAACTTTTATTTCAAAGCCGACTGGTCCAAATCTTGAGAAAGCAGGCGCATTCTCAGAATATTGATGATAGAACCACACATTAACGCTTGGTAGCGGTTCCGTTACAGGTTATCGACGTTATACCGACGAATAAACCCTGCCCAACATAACTGTAGAAGCAAGAAGTATCTTTTAAATTATACAATTCTGCATAACAGCAATAATATTCCAATGTCGCATTAAGTTTCAATAAATACATTCACAGAAGCCAATTTAACACACCATGACAAACTGAAGGCTCTGTATATCGTAAACTGTGTCGCATCAGAAAGTCCTCAAAAAATCGAATGTTTTCTCCCACCAGATCCGCAGTTCTTCTATCGAATAAAAGAAACAAATAGCTGTAAGATAATTGGTAATCAAATTATAAGTTCAATCAGCCTAAATTTAAGACGCATTGTGCCACCTATAACAGCTCTGGACCCACCTTAATTAAAATCTTTAGCCACCAAGCGGTTAAGCTGTAACTTTAAGAGGTATGTAAAGAGACCATATAAAGGGTAATTATGATAGTAGTAGGAGAGGCAGACTGCGAAGGAATAATAAATTTAACTGGAAGAACTCGGTTCTTCTTATCAAGGTAGGAATATATATCGAGTATTTAATTTAAGTTAATAAGCCTATGGCCAAGGTGTTTAAACCACAGTAAAGGGCAATGCCCAAGATCGAGTCGGTGTCTGCCTCCTAAATAAAGCAAGAGCGAAAATGCATTTAAACTTAAATAAACAAAACGAAAAGTGAGAGTGATCACTCAAACAAAAAAATAGAATTGAAAAGGTATGGCGTTAATTACAGACTGCCGAAGCGCGTCCAAGAAGAAAGGTGCTTTCACCATCAAGTTACAATGCCACACTGCTATTTACAAATTCATACCAATAATAGGTATGAAGAAAAAGAAACTTAGAACCTAAGTAATATGGAAATTTCTAACATTCCTTCTTGTAGACTCATTCCTTCATATTCATTCATATAATACCTTCTCGTAGACTCGTTCCTTCATATTCATTCATATGATATAATAATAATAATAATAATAATAATTCCTTCTCGTAGACTCATTCCTTCATATTCATTCATATTTCCTTCTCACTGACTCATTCCTTCATATCCAGACTTCATACCTCACCGTGAGCTCATTTCTTCATATTCATTTTTTGCAGTAAATACGATGAAAAAGAACAATACACGAGAGATGGAAAACGTTTTTTAGATGTAAAAAAATGCAAAGGTATACCAGATGATTATAGTTTTCTAAGATACCAAAGAAATTACTCTCGATGGGCAACTGCTTTAAATTGTGAGGTCCGGAAATGTACAAGGAATCCGTCTCGTTCGCCTCCGCCTATACGTACATAGTGGCTTGGGCCCGAGAAGTCACGAAATGGTTAAGGAAAGTAAAATTTCTACCCTCGAATGATGATCAAAAATTCGAAACAATAATTAGTTATGGCCTCGGCTATAACTAAAAAAACTGCGTTGTAACACATCCATGCGACAACATTTCTTCTCGCTTCGAGTCACCGACACGTGGAGCAGCCTCCCTGATAGCATAGTTGACGCTCCGAGAATGAACGCCTTCAAGAACAAACTAGACGAAGCTATGCAGGAGCATATGTTCAGTCTTAAAATTCCTAGCAAATTACGGACCAGTCAATAAGTCCAGCAGCTATCTCAAACAACCGTCGCTTATGCAAAGACCGGGTTCAGAAGGCCGGATCTGTTGTAAAATCATGTCACGAAAAGTGCAAGAAACGGCAACAGGCCATGGACCTATTTCTTCAATCCCCTGCAGCAACGGGCCCTCCATGGAGCATAACCACGACGCGGGCCATGGAGACAACGTCCCCTGCAGCAACGGGCCCTCCATGGAGCATAACTACGACGCGGGCCATGGAGACAACGTCCCCTGCAGCAACGGGCCCTCCATGGAGCATAACTACGACGCGGGCCAGCAACATGGCCCGCCACATGGAGCCCACATTGCAAATTATTAGTCTGAGGTCGAGCAAAATTTGGCATCTGCATACTATGCGATTGTGAATACCTGCAAATTGAAGAAAAAATACTGGGGAAAATACTTTTGCTTCATACCGAAGCACTGCAAAAACCTTCTCCCTCATTGCTCCAAAATTAACGCACTGAATTATCAGAAGTTCATGTGACCGTGGAGATGAGTTTGAACCTCGAAGTAAAAACAGATTTTCTCCGCGTACCATCGACAAACTTTTTCCTATGTAGAAAAAATTATTCAGTGCATTTCTCCCACCAAATTCGGTGACCAATTTTTCGAAGATTTTCATGTAAAATTTGACCAGCTGGAGGATTATATATTAGAATTATCTGTCCACATAGACGACAAAATTTCACTCGAGAGAACCGGCCTTAATCGCGCTGAGCGAATATGTCATATTTTTTGTAAACACGTTTTCTGCGACTCTTGCATTACGCTGCGGCTGGAACAACAGTAAGTACAGGCTTTGACTTTACCCTAAATATGCTTACAATTATGTACATAGGGTGATACATTTTAAACGCGCACATTATCCCAAGAAGAATATTAATCATGTTCACGTTTTTATATGTTCTTTGTAACTTTTCCTTGTCATTTATGCAGCTACTTCAAATTTTTTTCAGTTTCATAATTTTGTTTTACTTTCAAGTTCACAATTCAGTGCATGCGATCACTTCTTTCATTATTAATTGCCGTGGCAAATATTCAGTAATTGAGCGCTGAAAAAATATGACGTATTAAATTGCCGTAGCAAATGTTTAATGATTAAGTGCTGAAAAAATATTTTCGTTAAATTCCGTAGCATACATTTTTAATTAATTGTCGTAACAAAAATTTTTTAATTAGGTAACTGCCGTAAAAAATATTACGTCATAAATCGCCTTTGCGAATATTTCTTAATTAATTGCAGTATCAAACATTTTCTAACCAATTATCGTAGCAAACATTTCGTAGTTAAGTACTGACAAATATTTAAAAAAAATTGCCGTAATAAATATTTATTAAATACTTGCCGTAGATACGAAGTTACCGCCTCATAATAGTCACAAAAAATGTAGTGTAATAAATGAAATGAGCAAATTGTCGTTCCATTTCCATGTGATAATAGATATTGATTATTAAAATTAGCGTTGCATTTTTGTGTTGCAGTTCGTCGTGCCCGATGTGTTGCCAGCCTGTCAGCCACCGCGCCTGCCGCGACGAATTCCTGGCCTTCAAGAAGGGGGAAGATGGTGCGAGCACCAGCTAACTGTGATAAAACTTGATGACCAGCGTGCCCTGCAAGCCCTGCACGGCGCAGCGGGGAAGATGGTGCGAGCACCAGCTAACTGTGATAAAACTTGATGACCAGCGTGCCCTGCAAGCCCTGCACGGCGCAGCGGGGAAGATGGTGCGAGCACCAGCTAACTGTGATAAAGTTTGATCCAAACGAAGTTTAATCACCTTTCTACATTAAATAATTTGAGTCATAGATAATTTACTGTCTAGCATTACCTTGATTGATTACTTGTAATCATGCAACCTTTATGATTACCTTTATGATTAATGCATCAATAAAAGTGTATCGTTAATAACTTTTCATTCTCGTCCATCTTCCTTTGTTTTGTCTCCTTCATACGTTAGTATTCATTTCGTTAGTAATAAATTCGTTAGAAACCATTCGTTAGTATCCTGATCATCGTCGGGTCACCAATAAACACAATTTGTGTGGATGTAGAGATACGGAAATATAAGAAACAAGTGCTACTTAAATTTTGGGAAAAATTGCTTCTAAATATAAATGATGAGAAATGTACAGATCACAATTAGTTGAATGATTTATATGATCACCTCAGCTCCTTAACCGACAGCCGCAACAAAAACTTTTGTCCCAAGAGATATTTTTCGGTTTTTCAATTATGATGTTTGAAATAAAGTCAAGAAACCTCAATAGTTTATATTTTAACTTGAACACGAAAAACAATTATGACAAGAATGAAATCCTACATGAAAAATTCTAAATATGACAAAAACCCCGAGGTTGATAAGATATTTGCAGAGTTGACCCATATTACGGAAAACCTCTTCTTTATTTTCTTTGGCAGGCTAGAAATCAAATTCTAAATGCTGCTCATATCAATAAAGTTACAT